GCTTTCTAGGAGGTGGAGCTAGCTGGGCATGGGCACAGAGGGTCCCAGGCCCTTGGGGGCAGGCTGTACCTGGTTGGAATAGAAGCCGTTCGCTTGGTTGCCCAGAGCTGGGCCTCCATGCCCATCCCACGCAGACCAGGGGTGAAACCGGCTTTCTAGGAGGTGGAGCTAGCTGGGCATGGGCACAGAGGGTCCCAGGCCCTTGGGGGCGGGCTGTACCTGGTTGGAATAGGAGCCGTTCACTTGGTTGCCCAGAGCTGGGCCTCCGTGCCTGTCCCGCGCAGACCAGGGGTGAAACCGGCTTTCTAGGAGGTGGAGCTAGCTGGGCATGGGCACAGAGGGTCCCAGGCCCTTGGGGGCGGGCTGTACCTGGTTTCAATAGGAGCCGTTCGCTTGGTTGCCCAGAGCTGGGCCTCTGTGCCTGTCCCGCACAGACCAGGGGTGAAACCGGCTTTCTAGGAGGTAGAGCTAGCTGGGCATGCGCACAGAGGGTCCCAGACCCTTGGGGGCGGGCTGTACCTGGTTTCAATAGGAGCCGTTCGCTTGGTTGCCCAGAGCTGGGCCTCCGTGCCCGTCCCACGCAGACCCCAAACAGAATATTTTTAAAAGATGATTTTATTATATTGGTTTTGCCACCCTCATCAAAAAAAAATCATTTGATCTGGAGTGCATAAAATTATTTCTAAACTCCCACTGTTTTTCAGGGTTCATTTGACTATTCTGGGTCCCTTTTAATCTCAGATCAATTTTATAATCAGTTAACATCTGCAAAGAAGTCAGTTCAGATTACATGATTTTTTTTAAATCGCTGTAGTGCTTTAAAGTATTATGCCATCTCATCAATGTTAGATCTCCATACATACACATGGGGTAATTTACCATTAAGTCAACTTCTTTCAACAATATTTTTCAGTTGTCAGATTAGAAGTTTTACATTGCTTTTGTTCAGTTCCATCTAAAGTACTTTATTCATGTTTATTTTGTGGCAAATAGAAGTAGGTATCTTTTTTTTTTTTATCTTTGATATTCTCTACATGGGCTGGAGCAATAGCACAGTGGGTAGAGCATTTGCCTTGCACAAGGCCGACCCTGCCACCTGGGTTCGATTCCTCTGCTCCGCTCAGAGAGCCTGCCAAGCTACTGAGAGTATTTCACCCGCACGGCAAACCCTAGCAAGCTACCTGTGACCTATTTGATATGCCAAACACAGTATCTACAAGTTTCACAATGGAGATGTTACTGGGTCCGCTTGAGCAAATTGATGAACAATGGGAGGACAGTGCTACAGTGCTATTCTTTACATGTGTAAAATATTAAATTAATTTTTGTTATTACTTGTTTTTGTTCCTTGGTGCATACTCAGCTATGCTCAGGACTTAAAATTCCTGACTTTGCTCTCAGGGATACTTCCTAACTCAAGGAAACATATGCAATGACAGGAATTGAACCCAGGTCAGCACCATGGAAGAAAGTGCCTGGCCCACTGAATTATCTCTACAGCCCCTAAGATAAATCTTGAGTATTGGTCTTGTACTTTCTGATTTTGTTAAACTTCATGAACAGTAACAGGTTCCTTAAATGGGTCACTTAGGATTTTCCTATATCAAAATATTTTATAAGCCAATAAAATAAGCCATTTAATACTTCCTTTTCAATATAAACATTTCTTTTTACCTCACCTCTCCAGGCTAGAACCTGCAATACACTGTTTTATAAAAGCAATGAAAGTTGACATTTCTTTTATCTTGTACTTAGGGAGATCATAGTCTTTTACACCACTTGTAATGAATATGTTTCAAGAAAACTACTTTCCTCAGTTTTAAAAAATATTAATCACCTTTCACATGTTAGTAAACTTCGGTGGGAGTAAAATGTAAGGTTGAATTTATATTTAATATTTTTAGACAAATCTCTTAGAATAACATGCATCATTACATTGAATTTGTTTTAAAAAAATAAAGTTGGGAATATTTTGCTCTTAGTTTTTATTTTGGGGGAAAACACCTAGTAGTGCTTAGGTCTTACTCCTAGCTCTGCACTCAGACATCATTCCTAGAAGTGCGCTGAGGAACAGATGGGGTGCTGGCTGTTGAACCCAGGTGGGCTATATGCAAGGAAAGTGCCCTGCCCGCTGTACTATGGCTCTGGCTCTGGGAATTAACTTTTAACTCTGCTCTCACTTTCATTTATTTTGTGATTATGATGTTGCAAAAGTTATACTTTTGAATTCAATTAGCATGATTTTGAAGCATCTACAGTTTTATTTTTAGATGTGCAAACTTTTCTATTGCATCTCTTTTATATTCCTGTGACCTTGTGTTCAGCCTTATTCTGCCTTTCAAAGAATCTGCTTATGATCTGTCATTCATTCCAAAGGCTAAATGTCTGGTGACTCTTGAACTGTTATCTATCCTGGGAGGATTTTCATTTCAACAGAGACACATCTTTCAGTTTCAGTGATAAAAAGTCATCCATATCTTTCGGTCTTTACTCAAGAGATGAGATATGTGTGTAAATTTTTGTTATTTTATCATGGATTTTTTAAGGAATCTTGGAGAAATACTAATGTATAGACACTGTACTGGTTTTCTGATATTTAGAAATTATCAAGGGTATTATTTGACTAACACTTTAAAAAATTTCTTTCTCTTGTTCCTGATCATTCCTCTCCTAATCTGGTGCTTATGGCTCATGTATTAATTCTTTGTCTTTCCCCCACTCACATATAGGCATACTCAAAACAGAATAAATAGCATTTGACTCTAAAGACACAGTTTTCATTTCATTCGCTGACAGTATTCACACCAGAGTGAGTGTGTGAACAGTAACTTCAGTTTAATTTGCCTCAGAACTTACTTATAAATTGTTGAAATTTTAACGACTTAAATTCAAGCGAAGCAACACTTTAAAATAGTATTCCCCAATGGTTTCCACTTGTAAAATTCTAAAAGAAAGACAAATATTTTTTGCTTGTGAAATTCCAGTCTTCAGTTTGAAGTGGCTAACTGCAAATGCAGACTCCCTGAGATCTTTTGTTTGGCTGTAAAAGTCACACACAAACATCCTCACATACACATTTTATGGTCTCTTCCAAGGATTGCATCAATGAAAAGGTGCAATGGTCAATTACCAGATATAGACTTATATAAATAAAAGTGGTATATGTGGTGCCTTGCTTTTATAATTTTAAGGACTTCCTACCCAGAGCTGCAGACTTATAATTATCTCTGCTGCAGTCTGAAAAGCAGTTCAAGTCCAGGACTTTAAATGAACAATTGATCACTTTAAGACTTTCTTTGGCTCTGGGTTTATTGCATATAGAATCTTGGAATAATACTTTGAATTATTGGTTGCCTTTGAAATATTGGTTCCCTTTTCTGCACTGCTGTGAGTCATATACTGGACTAATAAGGGGCACATTATCATTCTTGGATATCTGACACTAAATACTTGCTGTCATCCATCTCAAACACTTAAAGTGGGTGTTTTGGAGGACGTATTGAATTTTATTGTGGAAAGTTTTGCTACTAGATATACAACATTTATATTGGCTTAGTAAATGACTAAAGATATGATCAAAGACTTTTTAAGCTATATTCTTCCCTAATAGTCAGAAATAAAGCTTTACTCAAGCTATAAACTCAGTAATTCCAATAGCAATTTTGAAATATTTTTATTTTTCCTTCTTCATCTTCTATATTATTATTGCCAAAGAATATATTTTTTGAACAGCGGTGGTTGGAGTAAATATATCCTCTGAGAAGAGTAAGAACATCAGCCTTCTGTTGACTTTAGTGATTTCTGGCACTGTTTCCATCTGCATCTTTCCACCTGAATACACATTAAAAGGTTGGAAATGTGGGGGTGGGGGAGGAGGTGGGAGGAAATTATCCTCTGAGCATATTTATTATCCAATAATGCAATTTAATGCATCTTTGATAGTGTGCAATTAGATATTAAAATTTCCCATAACTAGAAATGTTCTCGGTCAATGGGAATTACTGTAGATAATTTCAGGCAACCTGGGAATAATTTGGCTAGCTACAAGGCCTAGACCAATATATAAAGCATTCAGTTTAGAAAAAATTGATTTCTTCTTCACATTAATTCTCTGCTTAACTATACTGGGAAATGCAAATTTCCATAAAACATAGGAGACCAACAATTCTTTTATACAAAAAATAAATTATTAAGGTAAAACAAGGTAGCTGGAAAATAGTTCCAAATACACTGATTTTAATCTAAAAGTCTACTCTTGCACAAATTTAAAATATTTAAACTAAAAATAAAAATTTAAAACTTTTATTTACTGTAAAATTCAGGACTTTGATATCTACTCCTATTTTTATTAATTGTCCGATTTCCTCTGCTTTTCTTTCATGCATACCACTGTTTTTTTACTATAAAGAGATTGAATGGAGCAGGGGTAAACATATTAGAATGAATAGATTTATAAAATATGCGTGAATATTCCACAACTCCAAATTCTAATCACATTCTATGTTCTTGACATTCATTAGGCAATGCATATACTAGCAAGAAAACCTTAAATTATTAATTAGCACTCAAAGTAGATAGGATGGACAAAGAGAAGGGAGGGGGATTTCAAGAAGCTATGTAGTCAATTTGATTCTATTAATACTATAATATTTACCTCTGCTATAAGATGTAACTATGCTTTGGTTATAAAACTGAATGACTGGCAAGCCACAAGAGATTCAAAAAGTGATGATATTGAAGAATCAACCATTACCTTAGAATTATGAATGCACCCATATTAAACATTCTTCATGGAAATGTAACCACAAGAGCACTGAATACACAGAGCGGGTAAACATATTATTTAAGTGGCAATGGTTATTTTAATCAACAGTTAACCTTATGAAATACAAAACACTTAATATAATTATTAGGTGAAATATTTTAGTTATAATTCTAACTGAATACACGGTGAGCATAAATAAAATTAAACAAACTGAATGGGCTATACTAATACTCACTTAGCATGTCGAATATCTGGCAGGGACCTCTCTAGAGCAATATTGTTGCTGACAAAAATATTGAAACCATTTTCCCTGTAGGCTGAGTCATCGTGGTCCTCTTCGGTGAGGGGATAAGGCTTTCCATGTTCACCTTTTCCTAGCAGGAACAATAAATGGGATTAGCACTGGTACATGAGTCATTTTATCCCCTAGGACCCACATTCAGATTTGAGTGAGTATTTCTAAAGTCACCTGATCCTAGTTACCCCCTAGCTCAAGGGGTTCTATCAGTAAGATTTCATCACACCTAATTTTGTTTAGAAAAATGAATTGTGAGAAAAAGCAAGTGACACATAAATAGAATGTGGAATCTTACCTTTCTGAGCAAACCCACCAGGATTTGAAGTGTGTAACACTTATGTAAAGATTCTTATATATACACACTGCTGTATGATCTTATATTAAATAATTTTGTGAAAAGTCATCTTTTTGTTTAATGTGAATGGTTGGAATTCTTTCACTGTGTACCATTTCATTGGCACTGTACATTGGCACTGTCCTCCCATTGTTCATCGATTTTCTTGAGCGGGCCCAGTAACGTCTCCATCATGAGACTTGTTGTTACTGTGTTTGGCATATCGAATACGTCACGGGTAGCTTGCCAGGCTCTGCCGTGGGCAAGATACTTTCTGTAGCGTGCCGGGCTCTCTGAGAGGGGCAGAGGAATCAAACTCGAGTCGGCCATGTTGGCTAGGTGCAAGGCAAACGCCCTGCCACTGTGCTATCGCTCCAGCCCATTTCATACCAATACATTATATACTTTTAAGTTAGTTTTAGTTTTCCCTATGAGCATATTTGCTTACATCTTTTCTGTTGTGTATTTTTGGAAAACAATGTTTTCAATAAATAAAATGACAAGATTATCTTTAAAATACGACTGATAGTTTACCACATCCTCAGAAGCACTAAAAATTCTTGAAATTCCCTGGTAAACTCTATATTATTCATGCTACAATTTGTCTTCTCTTAGCAAATGAAATTGACTTCATAGCCATTTATCGTTTGCTTTCTTACAAATAATGATTCTTTCATTTAAAACATTTAAAGTCAATATTGTACTTTTAAAATCGTTTTTAATTATATTTGTTATGAATATGTTTTCCTCTTCATTAAATTGAAGTCTTCTGATTTCTGGTTCTACATTCAAAAAAGCTTTGGCTCTTTCCACTTCAGCCCACCAACAAGTAAAAAGATGAACAGACAAATAAATCAACAACTTTCTTGGATTTGTGAGAGAGGAACAACACAAGGCAAACTGTCATCTCTGGGACTCAGAGGTAGAAAAATACCGAATTTAGAAATTTATCTGAACAGAAAACCTGATAAAACTGTAAACTTCGCAGACAAGCCCTGGAATTAAAAGTTCCAGTTAGATTTCCAATGTTGTAAGAGTTAGCTTCAGGAGTTTTCCAGAATAACACAAAAGTAAAGCCCTCCAGCAGTGCTTCTAAACGTGGAGGAAGAATGGAGCCAGGATGAAGTAGCCAGATCCCTTTCCTTCCTTAGGCCTGTCTTGAGGGAGCTGGTGGGAACATGCAGGATCAAAGCATTTCTCCTGCCTGCTCAGAATGGGTTCAATCCCCAGTGGCACACATGGGCCCTTGAACACTGCCAGGAGTGATCTTTCAGCACAGAGCCAGTAACAATCCCTGAGCACAGCCTGGTATGAACCAAAGACCAAACCTATATTATTATTATTATTATTATTATTATTATTACCACTACTACTATTGGGCTGGAGTAGTAGCACAGCAGGTAGGGTATTTGCCTTGCACTCAGCCGACCCAGGTTCCATTTCTCCACCCTCTCAGAGAGCCCGGCAAGCTACCCGTGATGTATTTGATTTGCAAAAAAACAGTAACAAGTCTCACAATTTGTTGTGAGACGTTACTGGTGCCTGGTCGAGCAAATTGATGAACAATGGGAGGACAGTGCTAAAGTGCTACTATTATTATTATTATTATTGTTATAGTAAGTCTCTGTTGAGTAAATTTTTTTTATTTCAGTTTTATGTGGTGACATTGCAGATTGTAAATATTTATATGGTTAGTAGTGCAGTACTATCTACCACACTTAACACCAGTGCTAATATCTCCACTACTGCCCACTGCACCCTTTCCATTCTTTCTTTTCATTTCCCCACCACTTCCAAAGTACAGCCATCAGCTCTTCAGTTCTGTGCTCAGTTGAACTTTCCTGTTCCTTTGCTTCGCTTCTTTATATGCTACATTTGGATAAGATGATCCAGTATTTATCTTTTGACTTATGATTATTTTGCTTCGCACCATCTCTCCTCCCCTCTCCGAGAGCTTGGCAAGCTAACAGGAGTATCTCACCTGCACGACAAGCCTGGCAAGCTACCCATGATGTATTTGATATGCCAAACACAATAGTAACAAGTCTCACAATGGAGACGTTCCTGGGCCCGCTCTAGCAAATCGATGAACAAGGGGAGGAAGGTGACAGTGACAATGATAGTAAGTCCCACCCTCAGGGCAAAATAAGAGTCAGTATCTGTTAATCGGTCAGGAACATTTGATTCACCTGGAAGCTGGGGATGCCCAAAACAGCCCCTCACTTTCTCCTAGAGAGAGAACAGGACATGGAGTAAACAAGAGATACTTGTGAAATTCACAGAACAGAAACACATGCTCACAAGAAGCCTGACATCATCCCTCTTTCCGGACCTCATCCGCATGTAAAGATGTGTTGACAGCATTGGGCACATCATAGCTAACTTAAGATAAAAAGTAAAAGACATACCGAAAAGCTATTTTAAAAAATATCCCAATTTGAAGTGACAGATCAGTCATCAGAACCAGACATGGAAAGAGCTGGGCTTCTCAGACATAGAATTTCATACAACTATGATGAAAATCTAAGAAGTCTCTGAGATAAAGCAGACCATAAGGACAGATGGACAATGTAAGCAGCAACGTGAAAAGTCTCTATGAATGGACAACAATTTTTAAAAATAAATTAAAAAATGCTACTAATGAAAAGATTTGTAACAAGAATAAATGCCTTTTCAGGGCTTAGTACCAGCCTGGGAACTGCTGAAAAAGATTCTCTGCACTTGAGAATATTTCAATGGAATCTTTGAAAACCAAAAACCAAAGAGAATGAAAATTGAAATAAGTCACACAAAATATCCAAGGTCTTTGGAACAATCCCAAAGGTGGGCCGTACATCTTGGCTACATTTACACACTCTTCCTGTTTATTTATATTGTTAATAAATAACATTGGTGGCAATGGGCATTCATTATGCAATGATTTGCATATCATAGCTGCTAAGCATCACATGTATGAACTGAGCACTGGCTATGTTTCTGAGTGTGTGAGCACAGTGTGTGTGTAAGAGAGGCAGACGAGAGTATGTGTGCTTCTAACGTAATAGAGTTTGCTAAATGACTCTCCTGGTCTTAACTAGAGATTGTTTTCAAGCATCAAATTTTTCAAATGCATTTTCAAATTTCTTACAGCTCCTCTTCTATTTTTACCTCTATATTAATAAGTAGCTAGACAGTTACACCCTCCAACTGCCGTGTAACCCCAACAAAGGCCAGGATCCAGAGATTATCACAACAAGCTCCCGGGAGCGCGCGGCCTGTGGCCGCGCGACTATTTATTTACTTTTCTCTAAATTTTCAGGGTACCTTAAATATCCTTAAATATCCTTAAATATCCAACCCGTACGACAGAGCCTGGCAAGCTATCCATGGTCTATGCCAAATAGACCAAATTGATATGCCAAATCCAGTAATAAATGGATCTCATTTCCCTAACCCTGAATATGCAGAGTCGAGAAGGATATGGAAGGAGAGGCTGATAAAACACCAAGGCAGACATAGGCTACCAAAACGCAGAAAAAAAAATGATTGTCTGCACTTTTAATGCTCGTACCCTGGCATCTGCTGCATCCATTGAAGACCTTATGGTACAAGCACGAAAGATCAAGTACGACATCATTGGTCTGACCGAAACGAGAAGACATCAATTCCATCATGCTGTTTTCGACACTGGAGAAGAACTGTTCCTTGGAACATGTGATAAAAGAGGCGTCGGTGGTGTCGGTATCCTTGTCAACACAAACTTAGTCACGAGCATTGATTCATTTGAATGCCTAACAACCCGAATCGGACGATTACACTTGAATAAATGTGGCTCACTACCAGCAGTTTCTATCTTTGTTGTCTATGCACCAACATCCAGTTATGGTGAAAGAGAAACTGAGAAATTCTACATGGAGCTGGAGAAATTCTATAAAGAAGATCACACCTTCTACAAGATCATTGTCGGTGATTTTAATGCCAAGATAGGACCAAGAAGATCAGTCGATGAACTCCACATTGGAACCCATGGCCTGGAATGGAACGAACAGGGTGACAGACTGTCTGAGTTCATCATGTCAACCAAAACCTTCCATGGTAACTCACAATTCCAAAAGGCTGAATCTAAATGTTGGACATGGAAGTCTCCCGATGGACGGTTCCACAATGAAATAGACCACATCATATTCAATCGGCGGTTTTGCCTAACCGATGTTGCTGTTGTCCCAAAATTCCAAACAGGATCAGACCACCGTCTTCTTCGTGCAAAATTCTACCTCACAGAATGAGGAGAAAAGAATGCAAGGTTTAAGAAGAGGACTCCCAGAACAACCACCAACTGGGAACTCTTTGGCTCTGTTGCGGCAACATGGGAAGATGCCGTCATTGACAACATTGATGAGGAATACGATCGAATGATTCAGCACCTCCATGATTGTGCAAGGAATGCCAAGAGAGAGATAACCACAAAAAACCGTCTTTCTTCGAACACTCTTGAACTTATTCGCCAACGTGGCTTGGCACGTGCCTCAGGCAACCACAAGCAAACGTCCGAACTGGCAAAACAGTGCAGAGAAGCCATCAAGGATAACCTCAAAAACAGGAGAGCAGCAGTACTGGTAGATACAGCAGAAGCTGGGAAAAACATTCGTAATGCCCGCCTGTCCTTCACCAACTACAAAACCAAGATGACTGCCCTCCGACATCATGATGGATCTATCACATATTCCAGAAGGGCGATGGAGAAGATTATTCATGACTTCTAC